TGTTCTGATTATTGGAGTCCTTGGTGGAATGATGTCCTCTCTACTCTCGAATCTTAAAATCATACCGGCTTGCCGCACTAAGGCGGAAATCTTAGCCGCACAGATGCAGAAGGCAGTCATTCTTGGCTCACTGCGCTTGCTCAGGGCACATGATTCTCGGACCCAATGATCACTTACCCCACGGTGTGGGGAGTGGTCATTGGTTGATAATGCTGGCGAGCCCTCCCGAATGTATTGGGGTTTCGGGGGATACGGCCTGACCAGCGCACACAACGGTGAAAAAAAAATTATTTGCATTCAATTATATGATTCAATATAAACATAAAAATATTTCAGAAAGGATGACAAAACAAAAAAAAGTAATATATACACATACATCATACATATATACATATAAAAAATAATAAGAACAGGAATGCAGAATGTAGTTGAAAACAATTTGAAAAAGTTCTAGTTCAGCCCCCGCTTGAAAGTATAATATAATAAGTATAATTGTTCGCATGGAAATAATTTTTATCCTCATTTTAAAAATGTTGAAGTATAAATAAATATCATCTGTGGAAACATTGGGTTATTCAATCTTGCCCAAGAGATATGACCCCTATGACGTAAATTAAGGTTATGAATATCTGTCCTATATTTCATTTTATTGTAAATGCGGATCTTGACTTGTGAGATATTGGATCATATTTGCGAATATGATCCAATATCCAATCTGAGACATGATTTCTGAATTTTTTCTATACGATTAATATCGTTATGATCTAAGCATGGTCCATACAGAACGTCACAAAATTTAAAGTGACTCAGAACAAATGTATCACTTAACGTTTTTTGAGTGATTGTAAAAAAAACATGTCTATGAGGGTAAATAATTTTGAATGAACAATAAGCCCTTTGAAGATCGAAGTTCTGTATTTAAGTGTAAACCTAGATTCCTTGCATCACTTGTAAAATAGTAACTCTTCATTTTGAATTTTAATTGTCATAATGGTTTCAAAGTGATATTTGTTTTTTCCAAATGTCATTACTTCAGATTTGAGTGCGTTGATTTTCAACTTATGCGCATGTGATACTTCTACTAATCGGTTTATATCTGCAGATATAACTTTTTGAGCATCAAACCAATCTTCTGGAGCAAATGAGTGATACAGCTGTGTAACATCAGCGTAAAAGTGGACTTAACAAGTTGTAATGTTTGAAATGAAACTACTTGTGTATATACTATATAGTACGGGGCCAAGTAAAGACCCTTGTGGAGCCCCACAAGTGACCTTTTCTCTTGATGACTGACCCACAGCTGTCTCCACTGTCTGAAAAACCTATAAATTAAAAAATAGAGAGTAAAATTTCGTGGTTGATCGTATCAAATGCTTTTGAATAATCTAAGAGAATAAGAACAGTTGTTTTTCCTGCATCTGTCTCTCTAATAATATCATCAACAATGTTGAGTAAGGCTGTAGCACAGCTGTGTCCCGGTTTGAACCCTGATTGTTCAGAAGGCAATATAGTATATTTTTCAAGATGATGTTTTATCAGAAAGTTCATATTTTTTTCAATTACCTTCGACAAACATGGTAGTATACTAACCGGGCGGAGGTCATTGTAACTCAATACATCACTTTTCTTAGACAATGTAATTATCCGTGACACTTTGCAGATATCAGGAAAAATACCTTCCAGTAAACAAGAATTGACAATATTTGTTAATACTGGTAGGATTGTTTGGCAGCAAAGTAATATCATTTCTAAGTTTATTAAGTCAGGAGTAGCTAGTGATTTCAATGAAAGAGTTTCCCAAAATTAGATTTTTTGTTTTGAATATACCTATTGAGCATATTTTGTTCAGGTTCAGACTTATCCGATGATGAAAATCAAAATCAAAAAATCTTTATTTCCGTAGACCTAGGGAAGGCATGGAAAAAGTCACATTACTCAGTACAATTACAATGAGGTCACAATCATAAAACAACATAATTATAAGATATACTATATAACATTTAGACCATAAAAGGGATACACAAATTAAAATTTAAAATTCCAAATCAGACTGAAAAAATTCATTAAGCGAATGAAATACCTTTTCACATAATAGTTTCCGAACTTTTTGTTTAAAGAGCTTTACACTAGTTATGTTTTAATGGATATTGGGAGCTTGTTGTACAGTTTTATTGACATGATATGAGGTCCAGTAGTGACCTTGGCTAACTTATGACTAGGAATTAAAATGTTATAGTTTTTGTGTGACAGCTGCAACCGTTCAGCAGTAGGAGAGCGAGCTATATTTACACGATTTCTGAGTTGTTTGTAATAGTTCCAATGACCTTCGTCCTACAACTGTAGGACGAAGGTATTAACGGTAAGCTTTTTCCCACAGTTCAATCATTTTTTTGATAACATCTGCAATCTAAGGAGGTTTTTGGTATATACCTATTTATGTACGAACATTTCTTGAATAAATTGTTCCTTGTATGAACTATAGTAGTTTCTTGGGAATAAATAATTATTTATATTACTATATTTAATCTAAAGGCAGTTGCAATTTCTGCTGGATTCAGTGCAATTTATTGAGTTTTTTTCGATGCAGAAATAAAATATTTGGTAATTAACAAAACCCATAGCAACCTCCTAATAACCCACAGTCTACTCGCGACTGCATTGCTTCTGGACTAGACTCTTTCACACGACGATAAAGCATTCTTTCACGTTGGAAGGTAAGACCTCGTTAATCCTTAGCTCGCACAAGTTTTGGTTTCTGAGTTTGTAGGGGTGCAACAGCTGGTTAACGGAAAAAACAGAAACAGAAACAGATTTCAGAACTTTCTCAACGGCATATTGTTAGACAGGTAGATGCACAACTTTGCCTCAATTTAACCATCTTCGTATCTCTCAAAGTTTCCGAGATCCCAATGTTGAGGGTCGTATTTGAAACACCCTGTATAGAGAGGCAATAGAAATTCAAAGAAACCCCATGATTTCAATAAAAAAAGACTGGTCAATGACCACTAATAAAATCTGGCTCCCTGTTCCTTATTGTACAGAAACAAGGTCAGGTAATCCAATTAAGAGAAATCAAGCCAATAACGGGAACAACAACCCGAGCACCAACTCGGACAGTTCGACCGCAGTAGTAGACGAAACGTTCGACATAAAACCTGCAGGCAACGGCCATGAAACACGGAAAATAGCTTTGACCCAAAATTTTTGTATATATTTCAGGCTTGCTCCTATATTCTATTAGTATTCCTATTCGAACCAATATGTTTTTCAAATTTTTTAACACTGTCATTTATTAACCTAAAATGAAAAATAAATATAGTTTGAAAAACTAAAAAACACGCTTTTAAAGAACATCGAACTAGAAAGTTTAAAATAATTTTTTAAATAAGCCTAAAACAATAGCGAATGAAAAATACTAGTATTATTGTGACAAAAGCGACGGGTGCTTGATATACAAAAGGTATGGCACAAAGCGCCCACGCTTTTTTACACGCTTCATATTAGCTTTACCTGTATGTATGTATGTATGTTTGTTTGTAACTCTCAAGCTCGGGATCTGTATCGACAGAATTATCGGCATTATTGCTTGATCTATTTGCGGGCAGATGGCGCTATACGTAACCTCCTCGATAGGTTGTTGAAAAGAAAATCAACATAAAAAACACATTTTAAGAATTATAAGTGTTGACGAAATTTTGTTCTACAGATGAAATATTTAAATATTTACAATTACCCGTGATTCAGTACAGAGAAAAGTTTTGAACCAAACGGAAGATACATGGTAAAATCTAATTTGATTATTTGAAAGCAAACCAGAATATGGATTTCAACAATGAAAACTTCATTGTAAGTTGTACACCTAAAAAATTCAGTTACTCAAATATTTCAAAAAATCGAAAAATTAGAATTAAGGTGCTTGACATACATGTCAAATCAAAAGATTGATTTGAAAAATAAAATTATTCACTGAAAAAATATTTTTAGTCCATTAATATTTTGAATGAAACTTCAAATCAAAACATCAAGACTGAATTGTTTTTTGAAATTATTACTGCAAATTTTATCTTTACTTCGAAACAAATTTCACAACTGTCCGCCCTCTGTTGGAGACTTACTGCATCTCAGTATTACTATAGAATCTGAGACCTCAAACTTTATTATGTTGTTTGAGAGGAATTTTACATTCGTGCGCCGTCTGTTGAAGATTTATAATACTAGTGACTAGAACTTGAAAAAAAATATTTTTGACAATAAATCGGACTAAAAAGTGAAAAATACATATAGTTTAAAAAATACTAAAAAACACGCTTTTGTAGGGGCACTCATGTTAGGAAAGCTACCTTTCCAGCGTTGGATGAGTAACCGCCGAGGGCTCTTGCGAGACACCTCTACCACACATCTAGCTTGAAATTGGCCAATGCCTGTTGCCCGCAGATGCGGGATAGGGTAGTTGACCGATAACTTTACTGGGTGAGTGCCGTGTGGTCTGCACCGGAGGACTGTCAAACACCCATAAGAGAGAGACAGTGACCCCCCGCCACTCACCCCAGTATTGTGGTTATGATTTGGAAGAGAGGACTGAAAATTGGATTTACTTTTGAAAACGTATGCACTAGCCTCTAGAATGTAGGTGCTGGCAACTGTAAGAATTTTTAGCTGTTTAAAAGCATATCTACATGAATCACGGTACCCTAGCTTAGCTATCATTCTAACTGCATATTTCTACAGGAGAAATATCCTTTTAACAGAAGCACTCATACCACAGTTGAAAATACCATATCGAAGGTGTAGTCTAGTTCAGATGTACTTTTTTTTGTAACATTTTTCAGCCCTGTCCAAAAATTACGACCAAGATGTCATTCGATTCGTATTTTTGCCAAGAAAGTTTAAGGACAGGTCCGAAAACGCGCCAATAAAAATTACAAAAGTTATAAACAATTAAATGAAAAAAAATTGGGCTTTGGTTTTTTCTTAATATCTCGGAAAATTTTCAAAATTTTGAAAATTTTCCGAGATATTAAGAAAAAAGAAAATATCCATCATGGACATTTTATATTCAAACTATGACTCCCGAGCAAGCTAAAGCCCAGGACTTCAATCCATTTGACATAACAAAAGTTTGGCCACATGTGAAATTTCCACTTATACCAGTCGGGAAAATTATCCTCAATAAAAATCCATCCAACTATTTTGCTGACGTGGAACAAATTGGTTTTAATCCAAGTAACCTCACCCCCGGTATAGGGGCGTCTCCTGACAGACTACTGCAAGGTAGACTACACGCATATCAGGATGCACATATATATCGTTTGGGAGTTAACTTCGAACAGTTACCAGTTAACAATTCACTAGCTGAAGTAAGTTACCAAATTCGAGACAACCAATATGAAATTATCTATTAACTAATGGATTCATAGCAATAGTTCGTATCCTGAAATAACTTTTATAGTCTAGTTCACATGTACTTTTTTTAATTCAGAAAAAGTTATTAATTAACAAATTTATAATTAACGTTAAAATTGGGATAAAAATTTTTGACTGCGGATTATTGTTTATTGATGTATCCCAACATTACATGAATTTTTTCATTCCTTAATATTTACATTTGATATGTTTAAACAAATTTTTTTGTTTTTATGTCAGAGTGACGAAAGGCGCGCGGAAGCCAGACTACTTGCTTTTGGCTCTATTTTCAGGGCTCTGTAAAAATTATAAATAATCGAGATACTGTTTCGGGAGTCGGGACTTTTTTTACGCAAATTCATTGATCTTTTCAATCTTTTTTCAAATTTTCAAAATTTTGAAAATTTTCCGAGATATTAAGAAAAAACTAAAGCCCCATTTTTTTTCACTTCATTGTTTATAACTTTTGTAATTTTTATCGGCGCGTTTTTGGATCTTCTTCCCCACTAAGGAAGTTGTTTCAGGCGATTTCTTATATTCGTTGTTTGCCCAAATACAGCCATTGTAAATTTTAAATTGTCACCCTGTATATGATTCAAACTGATAATACTAACTAAGAAGGAATTCTCAGGAGTAGTCAAGAAATATTTTGGTGGTCCACTGAAGAATTGAAATTAATTTTATAATAATTCAATATAATGTGATAAAAATTCAAATTTATTTTGTGTATAATACATAATGGAAGCAAATTCCTATTAATTGTTTTTCAGATCGCTAATTTTCAACGTGATGGATTTGATGCCATTAAAAATCAAAACGGAGCACCAAACTATCATCCCAACAGTTTTGGCGGTCCAGAACCCTTACCCAATGCAAAATATTGGACCCCTCCTCCAGAATCAGTAACCGGAAACGTGGACTATTTTGATTTGGGAGACGATGACAATTACACCCAAGCTGGAGACTTTTATAGAAAAGTTTTGAACGACCAAGCTAAGGAAAGATTGGTGCAAAACTTGGCGGGAAAAATAAAGTTAGCCCAAAGAAGGATACTCGATAGAACCGTGGAAGAATTCACTAAAGTTGATGAAAACCTCGGACAGAGAATAATGAAAGCCATAAAATTAGAAAAAGGACGTGAAGCAGTTGTTGAATTGTGATTCAACTAACAACTATTGAATTTCTTATTCCCACAATTTTCTTATTTTGTTATTCACACACATTTTAACAAATTGATAATTGGATGGAATTTGGACTTGTCAATTATTCTGTCGCCAGATTCTTTAACGTTTCTACTTACCGTGCGTTAAACTGATATTAACTTTGTATTAGTATTAAACTGATATATGGGAGCAGACATTATCTCACTAAGAAGGTAAAAATAACTGTGTGCGAGACTCTTGTACTCTCTCACTTCAATTATGCAGATGTTCTATATGGTCCAAATTTGACATTCAGACTGTTCAGAATTCATGTTTACGTCTGATCTTTGGAGTGAGAAGAAAGCAAGCGATTTCGTACACCTTAAAACTAGCTGGGTGGCTAAACATGGAGTGTAGAAGGTTACTGCATGTTTATGTTTTGTTTCATAAAATAATAACAACGAAAAAACCGCCTTATTTATATAATAAAATAACATACGGAACTGATGTACACAACGTAAATATTAGGCATAAGCATGCCTTAACCCCTCCCCAGTTCAGAACTGAGTTTTTCAAGAGATCGTTCATATTTGCAAATTATATAATGCTTTACCGTATCAAATTAAATTCAATATAATTTCAAACATCAAAGACAGCATAAAAAATCATCTCCTGCAATAGATTTTATGATTAGGATGGTAGTATAGATCACCCAAGTTTAATCAGTAGTTGCCCTTATTCTTTAATTAATTTTTAACTTTACGTATATACAAATATATAATTTTCATGTGTAGCGCTTCTGATCAAGTCTGGAGTCAAACTATTGAAAGCAGTTGTAACTCTCGATTTCATATCTTACATTGTTGTTATTGGAGTAGAGTCAACCATATTTTTAATGGAACCCCACACGAAATAATCTAAAGGATTGCCATCTGGTGTTCTAGGAGGCCAACAAAAAGGTTCATTATTACCAATCCATCTGTTTTCGAAGATTTCGGTTAAAGCTTCGCTGACTGAATAAGAATTATGGGGTGGAGCACCATCCATTTGGTACCATACACGTTCTTTTCCTGGTCTATTATTTGAAATTATTTGAATTTCATTCCTCTGTAAATCTTCATATTTTGATGCATTCAAATTATCATCATAAAACTCGATATGAAAAATTTACTCATTCTTTATGGCACAAAATACATTGAATTGCCATCTTTCTTGAAAACCCCTTTGGCGGACAACATGGGAATTTTCTGGCGCCCCATAATGACTGTTGTGTCTATTGAAAACTCCATATGATATTGTCAAGGAAATATTCATCCTCTTGAGTCTTAACAAGTAACCATTCAAAGAATTGCACTCTACGAGGTAAATCAGTCTCTTTCAAATGCTGGACACAGTAGAACTTATAGGGATGCCATTTATGCTTATTAAGAATTCGACAAATTGTCACGTAGGGTATACCTATCTCCCTTTCAGCCTCGTGCAGAGAAGCATTTGGAAATGCATGAAAGTATCCCTAAACTGTTATACCATTGTCATCATAATCCACTTTAGTCTTCTTACGAATGATTTTTGGACGGAAGGTTCCATTCAACCAACAGTTTTTTAGTAGTCGATTTATCACATTATTATTCGGCTTCGGAAGTTGTGGATATCTTTCATGAAATACTCAGCATGTTCTACTTGCAATTCTATTGCACTCACCATAAATTTATTAATAAATTCAAGAGATCTTCATTACTGTAACCTAATCTTGACATAATTCTATTATAATTGGTAGCTATCACAATCAATCAAGACCACCAACGAAAGTCTGACGTTAAATAATTGATTTATTTATTTTTCCAAAGCACACTATTAAAAAATATTAATGTGTACTGTTGTACGTTAGAGACCAATACCTCAATGTATACAAATTGTAACTTTTTCTAAGGTAGGTACATACCAATTTCGAATTGACTGATCTGAGACAGTTAAAAAACTGGATCAAAAAGAAATATTACTAAGTATAAAAAAAATGTTGAATATCCAAAATAAGTGATGAATTCAAAAAAACGAGCAAGAAAACCACGTCAGTTTCCGTTTGAAACAGTTTATCTCGAAAACGGTTCAAAATAGAAATAGTATTATCTGAACAAAGTTAATCTAAAATTGGATGTAGAGCTTAAAAATGTTGAAATATACAGGGTGTTCCATTTGAAAGAATTGAGTTCCACTCATTTTTTCATGAGATCAAAGTATCTGCATTTTTTGAAGACCCTGTATGAGGCAAATGAAAATATGACTCGGAGTGAAGATCCTCATAGTATCACTCCACTCCATTTCAAATTTGATCGTTTCAGTGCAAGAGAGTTCAAAATTATCAGCATTTATAAAAGTTCGTGTTTGGTAAAAAAAATATCGAAATTAATTTATATATTCTAAACGGTAATAGATAGGTATAGGGAAATAGTATATGAATTTGTTGACAAAGTGATAATGAATCATAATATGATATTATATACGGCGTGTTCCATTTGAAAAATCAAAGAAGCCGCTACTTTATAATAAAAGCGACAACGCCGCTTCGTCTGAAATATTTTAGGCGTGTAGGTCAAATTGATTTATGCATACTGTGAAATTTTCAGGTTGATCCGTTAAATAGTTTGTCATAAACGGCTAATTAACGCTCATCATGAAAAGCCCTGTATTGTTTCGCAATGAGCAGATTTTAACAAAGTATAAAACATATGGTCTGAAGCTTATGGTTCGGGAGCTACAAATTATTTGAGTTGAAAATGAGCCGCTCTGAATAACTCCTGGAACAATGATTTGCAGAAAAATTGAAAAACCAGGTCAACAATTATACAGGAAGCCACATCCTGAAATATTCGTTCTAGAGACAAATATGGAAGCAATATATCAGAAAAAGGGATTTTTTTTATTAATTTTTGCAGAAATATCTGATGACAATGAGAAGAAGAAAATTTTCTATAGTGAATGTTCAAAAAAATTACCACCAACTCCTGAGCTTTCATTGCCGCCCTCACATGGTTGAGAATCTCGGGAGTTATTTCCTTGCAATGCCTCATGATATTCTCTCTCAAATCTTCTAATGTTGTTAATCTCATATACTATAGACTTCAAATGACCCCATAGAAAGAAATCTACAGGAGTAAGATACGGAGACATTGGTGGCCATTCTGTAGGACCTCTTCTGCCAATCCAGCGACCAGGAAAATGGTCATCCAAAAATTGTCGCATTGGAGCTGCATAATGAGGAGGTGCACCATCCTACTGAAAAACTATTTCCTTTTCGATTAAATTTAAGCCTCCTCAATTGCCCTATTGATGCCGGGTATTATTCGATTCTCCAACATATCCAAATATTTATCACAAGTCAAATTATCATCGATAAAATAGGTCCAATAGCTATAACCTAAAATTCCAGCCAAAACATTCAGTTTTTGAGGTCGTTGGGTATGAACTTGACGGTATAAATAAGGATTCGTATCACTCCAATATCGACAATTTTACCGATTCACCTCTACAGTCAAACTAAACGTACATTCATCCGAAAAACAAATTTTACACAACAAATTCTGATGCAAGTTGATCCGTCCAGTGAGACTTTCACAAAACTTGATACGTCTATCGAAATCATCTTCGTTCAATTCATGAACTAGTCTAATATGAATGAAATTTGTACTTATGAAGGATCCTAAAGACATTTGTACGACTGATTCCTGATTCTCGAGATAACTTAGTGAGAGATTGCGAATTTTCCATTAGTCCAACGTGCCCTGAAACTGCAGTACAAATAGAATCATCGTTGACAACTCCTGAAAGGTTATGCTTTTTATTGTTAACAGATCCAGTTTCCATAAATTTGTTCAATAATTCCGAAACGTATTTGTGTCGTACATTTCTTTCTAGATGATTATCATTGAACATACGTACAGCAACTCTAGCACTATTTCCATTTTGGTAGTACAAACTCACTATTTCAATCCGTTGTCGAACCATTGCTTCTCAAGAATTCCCAAAAAACGAAACAACAATTGTAACTTCACCTAGTAGGTTATCGTTATTGTAGAATGAGACAAATACAAAATGAAGAGAATATCGAATTCAAACTTTTTGAAGTTTACTTCACAAAAACACTTATGAAAGAAACCAAGCTAACAGAGCCACACTCAGTGTGGCTCGTTTTTAACTAAAATAATTTGTTACTCCCGAACCATGAGCTTCAGACCATATGTTTTATACTTTGTTGAAATATGTTCATCATGGAGGGTGATATAGGGTGATCCATTTAAAAAAAATTGCTGACATACTCTGGGGGTGCGATACGAAAAGTTAGATCAAATGTGAATATGTCAAAATGTTATGATGATTTCATTGTATTGATTCATTGATTCATTCATTGATTCATTGTTATGATTTCATTGTATGTTCAATTTTATCTAGTTGCGTATTTCTGTAGAAATTAAAATAAATGTTTCAAACTACCAAAAAAACATGTTACTTTGACCATAACTCGACTAACATGATGATAACGAAACCAATTAGTGATAACAAGAATCATTTTAGTAAGTGTTCGAAATGCCTCCCTTCACGTAGAATACATATATTGCATTTTTTAGTAATTCCCGATTCGTGACAGCTAAAAGCGTCTCTCGCGTTATGGAAGCACAAACATTTGTGATACTATTTTTCAAATCCTCTACATTTTGTGGACGTCGCATATAAATTAAGTATTTGATATATCCCCACAAAAAGAAATAGAGTGGAGTAATATCTGGATTTCGAGCTGGCCATGGTATTGGACCCTTATTTCCAATCCACTTCTCATTAAAAGTATCATCCAAATATTGGGTAACTATTCTATTATTATGTGGGGGTGCCCCATCTTGTTAAAACCACATATCCAGTCGAGTTTGTATTGGTAAATTCTCCAATAGATTCGGAAACACATGTTGTAGAAAAACCAAGTACCTCTCCCCATTGAGAATTCCTTCGAAAAAATGAGGTCCTATCAAATAACCATCAATGATTCCGCACCAAACATTAAACCCCCCCACACAGACTGAAATCTCGTTTCTTACACCCAATGAGGGTTCACGTCAGACCAATAGTGACAATTATGTTTGTTTATTATACCGTTGTTATGGAAACGGCTTTCATCTCTTCATGTTATATTTTTCAGAAACTGAACATCTTCATGAATACGGGTGGACAACCATGCAATGAAGTTCGATCTTCTATCAGCATCTCCTGAATATGGAAATATACACACATCGGAAAAGTCTAGGGATATTTTTTACCGTTTTTGCAGTCTTTGTTCAACCCATAGAAATCTACAGGGTGGTCGAGTGCACCAATTTAATCGAAATTAAACAACCTCATGCATTTATTTTTATGATATTTAGTATGTTATAAAAATATCCCTAGACTTTTCCGATGTGTGTATTTTAGTTATGGAGAATGAAATATGAAGATCATTACCTGAATGTAGTCCTTGAATCAAATGTATTTTGTATGGATGGAATTTGTTTTTCGACAAAATACGTTATATTGACGATTTCGAAATACTACAATACATTGCAACTTGTGTGGTAGAACTATACGGATCCAACACCATTTGACCTAGCACTGCAACACTGTGATTCTCACCAGCAGCCGTTTTTGGTTTTTTTCACTTCCGTTCATTAAAACATCCATTTCGTGCCAATGATTTGGCTAAGCCAGCGAATGTTTCGTCTGACGTTAATTTTCTGTGAGGATACCGATTAGCATATAT